AAACTTAGAATCTGATAGCTTGTACCTGTCTCAACTCACACAAAGAACCAAAACACATGAGTAGGTTTTTACACCTCCAGATGGCCTGAACCTGTATAAACACTTGTGTCAATTTCTTACTTGATGATCGACCGGGAGAGCCCGGGTCCCTTCGTGTTCCACACGACACATCGCTCTCGTCATGTGCAAGGACAATCTTCCTTGGGTCAAACCGTCTTTTTCACATCACTGGGAAGGGGGTCTCTCTTTTCCCAGCTACCGGTGGAGTGATCCCCGACAACACTGCTATAAACGCTCCTAGGTCGTCATGTGGCGCTATAATAAATCGTAGAAATTCTAAGAAAAAAACATCTAACCGTCAATTTTCATTTAATCTGGTAGGACCATTATTTTTAACTATTAGATCTATCTTAAAAATTACCAATTAAATTTCTCTCAAAAAAACCACATCGCTACGCGTACGGTACATAGGTATGTACGTACGTATCCCCAAACCCATATCCCCCAATCCTCAAGAAAAGTACGTACATACTTCCTTTTCTTTTTTCTTTCTCGCTTAGATTAGTTGAAAAATCAAACTAATAATTCAAGCCTACTTTAACTATGCTTGAAGTAGTAAAAATATATGTTATTTCAAGTTGTATTCTTGCTAGGCGCATCTCATCAAAACATCCATGAAAAATATAAATAAATAAAAGTTGTAGATTATATAATTGTATACACTTAAGAACAAGTATAGTTAAATTAGACTTGTATTTTCAAAAATAAAAACAACTCCAATTATGAGTGGCATTCTCAAAATTTACTCGCTGCCTACTATAAAAAATACTAACATGTCAAAATGACATTACTAAATTTATCATGAACGTATTTTGATGTACTATGTATTTTCTCTATTCATATATTGTTAAATAAAATAACAATCAAATATATTCTTTTACACCGTGTCGATGCCCTTTATCTCCTGCTTAGGCTTCATTCGATCTAGCTCATTGGCTGCGCTTATCTAGGGCACGCAAAACGACACGTCATCAATGAAAGATTAATTAAGTATTAAATATTACAAACTTGAAAAATGGGTTTATTTGATTTGTTTAAAAAAAAAGCTTTTGATAGAAAATATATGCAAAACATGCACCGTTTAGTTGTTCGAAAAACATGCTCACCATAAATGGAGTAGCCAATCGGATAAGCACTTTAGAACTCACCTTTATGTACTAAAATGCTTAATATGTAGTATATAATATACTTTGTCAATTAGGAATAGCCAAATATATCAATCATATGTTCCTACTAATCCCATGTATATAAGTTCTATATACAAGCCACTATTCACCAATCATCAAATCATATTGCTTACAAGGCATTCATGAGCGGTGCACCTAATAATTAGTTGATATCCAATGTGCACATGTGTCATCAATTACCGAAGATAAAGGACAATACTAAGTGGGCAACAATCAACAGATGATAGGCAAGTAGAGATACTACCAAGCCACAACAAACAATAGTTAACTACAAGTATATTGCGACTATGAGTAATAACGTTCCTACACACCTATATACACTACTAAGATGCCACGTGACGCTCTAATAAATTAGAAAAAATCTAACAAAAGTTACAAGAAAAAAGAAAAACAAGTAGACATCAGTTTATACTTAAATCAGTGGATCCATTATTTCCAATCATTAGGTTAAATCTATTAAAATAATCCATTGCGACTATGAGTAGTAGTGTTACTACACTCTACAAATACTCCTAATATGCCATGTGACGCTCTAATAAATTAGAGAAAATCTAAGAAAAATTATAAGAAACACTCATACATAGGACAAATACTCCTAAGATGCCACGTCACACTAATAAATTAGAGAAAAAAATATATTAAAAAACAGAATTTCTAGCCATTGATTTGCACTTAAACCAATGGATCCATTATTGTCAGCCATTAGATTATATTGATCCAAATAATCCCTCACTCTTAAAAATGGGCTAATCCTTCCCTATGTATGTACGTACACAAGAGATGTCAAGAAAAAGAAAAAGAAGAAGAGTGTGTCTACAATCAACCCCGTCAAGTAGTTTTCCATTTCTTTCTTTGAAGCTCTAAGGATTTCCTCAAATTATATATATATATATATATATATATATATATATGTAGCGACCACTCCTGACGAGGTTGTCGAAGAAGCCACGCCGCCGAAGCGCTGCTTCTCACCATCCCGTCAATTCTCTTGAAAGTATTTTTTTCTAGTAATGATGTAAAAGGAAATTGCAGACACATGCAGACACTTACTAGTAAAATTTTCGAGCTTACCTCCTTGAAAAACATGCAGACACAGTGATAATATGAGAATCGCCTGATCTGTGATACTTGGAACGGATGTCCTGTGCACAAGCTTGCAATTTCGACCTTCTGTGTGGACACCACAACTCGGCTTCCATTTCGCATGTTTGGTAGATTCGATCTGATGGATTCCCATTCTGAAACGGTGTTCAGGTCTTCTAACACAATGAGGTACCTCTTTTTATATACTTCCGTCCTGAACTTAGTGAAAAGCTTGACTTCTGCTCCTTGTCGCTGTTGTCCAGAGTTTGTGTAGAACTGACTCCGCAAAGCCTGGAAGAACTCACTTAGATCAAATGGATGCATTATCTTTATCCAGGCAAGACATTCAAAGTTTCTTTTTATTTCTGGGTCATCATACACATTCCTGATGATGGATGATTCCCCATGATCGCCTTCTGTTTCCCAGATGGAGATGACCTGAAGGTCACCATCATTGTTGGTGAGCAATTCAGCAAGATCCCCTGAACCACTCAGCTCCTTTGCGATGTCTCTCACCTCAACGAGGGCATCAGATGCTGATGAGCCACCTGCAGCTGGCCCGACAGGTTTGGAGCCGGAGTCAGAGATGAGGTTGTAGCGCATGTTCCTCTGGCTCACATCCTCCACTCTGGCCTTGATCTGCTTTATGTCAGCCACCGCCTCATCCAGGGGAAGAACCGGCGCAAGGCAGGACGGCAGCACCGGCGCCATGAACGAGGGGAACAACCGGTGCCACCAAGCAGACTTCTTGTCAAGGTGGATTACAAACTCGATGCAGTCCTCGACGTCTTAGGCAAGGTTACGCACCTGCGTTACCCAGGTCCTCACCACATTGTTGTTCGCTTGCCCCCTCCCGACGACGTTGAGGAAGGACTGCATCATCTGGAACTCATCCGTGATGAACACCAGGTCATGCTGCACCCTCTCCTTGAGCTGGTTCTCCTCCAAGATCGCCGACTGCACCTTGATCACCGTCCCCTCCACCACCGACTTGGTGAGCCCAAGCACAATGTCCGCCATTGTTTCCTCAGCCTCTACTCTCTGATGTGTCTGAGTTTGTGGTGAGCTAGAAGCAAATGATGCCGCTAAATTGCTAGATCGGAATCATGGGTAGGAGCTGCATCTGGGGTCGGTATTAAAAAGGACAGATCAGCCATTGAACAATAAATTTGGACATTATTACTGTATTAAACTAGACTATCCAGGTCAATGAAACAAGCTGGACTAAGTCCTAAAAAAAATTAGTAGATTTAATCTAGCGAAAGAGCCCTTACGTTAACAAATGTGGAACAGCTGATGCCTTGAATGATTGGATCAGTGAGCCTTCCCCAACCCAATATCTTACTCAACTGGAGACGTATTGATTGGTACTACACGCTGTAACATGGGGATTGGTTGACAAAAAATAAATAAAATTAGTCAAATTATCACAAACAAATCACACCGTTTGATAAACAAAGTGGGAGTACATTAGTACAAGCATTCCTACTAATTCCTCAGTCTTTCAGTTGTTTACTATGAATTGGTTTGCTAATCAGTCTATGTCTATCATCCAAGATCCCAAATGCGAACGCCCAACGCCTAACTCTATCGCAATCCAAGTTGCCTTGCATACCTCGCGGCTCCCGGGCGTGGGCGCTCCGGTTCGCCCACGACATCCTCTCAGCCTCCGACGGTGGCCGCCACACCAGCCATCCTCCTCCGCGACGGCGAGATCCGGCGGTGAGCCGCCGCCGCCGCCTGTGTCGCCTCCCATCCATGCCTACCAAACCCACCGGTTTGCTCCATTTCGACGCGTGGAAGGCCCCGTGGGCTGCAAAAGTCCATTCGGATGGGCCGGGCCGAGACCAGTACGAGTGAGTTGGGCCGGCCCAATATGCGCAATTTTATACCCGTAACTCCGTTTTTCTTCAATATTGACAACTTATGCCCTCTTTGTTTAGGCTTAATATTATTGGCTTAGACTTTTAAGTCAGCTTATTAGCTTATATGATTTATAAGCCGGTGGATTTAATGTCCTAAGTTTAATGATGGAGTCATGCATCTACCTCATATAAGCCAAAAAAGCTTCACCAACCTAGCTTTTGGCTTAATAGTGTTAGAATGGCTTATGGCTTCAAAAAAGCCAAACGAAAAAGCCGCTTGTTTGTTTAGACTTAGACTTTTCCGTTTATAAGTTGGCTTATAAGCCTAAACAAAGAGGGCCTAGAACTTTAATTGACAACTTTAAACTACTTCCTCGGTTCCTAATTATTTGTCTCATAATGGTTAACCAAGAAAAAAAAAGAGACTTGTCGAGGATAATGGAGTAATACTCTCTCCATTCATGTGATAAGTCATTTTGACTTTTTTTTACTCAGACTTCTTAAAAGTGATCAAGATTACAAAAAATATAACAATATTTATATCACTAAATTTATTTTATTAAATCTAAAATAGAATATATTTTGATAGTTTCTTTGTTTTATGTTAAAGATATTTCTCTATTTTACTATAAACTTAACAAAGCTAAAGAAAGTTTGACTTAAAACAAAAATCGAAACGACTTATAATATGAAACGAAGGTAGCAGTATATAGAGATCAATAGTATATATGGTTACAAATTATATCCCTTTTGATTATTTGAAACAAAACATACATGGGCTTGAATAACCTGAATACAATCCTATCTAGAAAAGTGAGGGTTTTATCCAAACCGGGGAGGGCCAATTCAACCATGGAGGCGAATTCTCGGTACACGCAAAGCTCTGTAAGCTCTTACTTGTCATGTCCCAAATACCTATCTCTCGCCAACTATTCTTATACATGTAGACATACTCAGATGAGTCATCGGTAATGTAGGCACAATTTGGCTTTAACATAGGATAATCCTTGGTTGAAATGCACATTGTGCTATTGTATCCAAGGAATAATGCATGATCATCCAAGCTCTTCATCTTCACAAGTTTTTTCCGATCAAAATCGACTCTGAACACTTCAATGTCAGTTGTCTTGAGCTCTAGATATGGATACATGTCATCATTGATACCAACGATAGGATCTAGGTCATCATCGTCATCGTCCACCTCAAGATTATTTGGATGCTCCGATGAAGATGTTGCCATCAGGTCAACATAGCTCCTCCATCTCCGTACTTGAAGGATGTCACCCCATGGCGCCCGTAGGAGGTACATGGCCGAAGGGTACCACCGTTGTGGAACTTTGCCTGTGATCTGTCTCACGATAGGAGAATCTCCATTGAGATCTAAGGTGTAGATGGATCCATCGAAGCATAGCGCGTAGAAAAAGCCATCATCATCGTTGTGAAAGAAGTCTTCAAAGCCACCGAAGCAAGGGTGTTTGTCCAGCGAGACCCACGTCCATCGCTCATCACCAGGCCGGGCGAACGAGAGCTCGCCGCACTCCATATGGGCGAGCAGCGCGACACAAGCGCCCCCACCGGTGGACGGGCTACAGGAAAGGACCACCCGATGGTACATGCATTCCCGTGCCTCATTCGCCGTGAGTAGGAGTGGCTCTGGGTCGAGCCCAGGTGTCGAACTCACGAAGACGTTGTACATCATGGCACCGTTGTTGCCTGCACCGGTGAAGCTCTTCTCCACATGGTGAATTCCGGTGATAGGAGGGAGACAGGCTTGGGCGCCGGTAATGGGATTGATGAGGCGGAGGTTGGAGACCTCGTCGGCGGTGACGATCCAACCGTGCCCCGCACCGACCACGGAGTGTTCGGTGACCACGCCGAGTGGGAAAGGGACTCGGATGGACTCGCCAGTCAAGGGGCAATGGACGACGGCGTTGTTCGGGGAGTAGGCCTCACAGGCGTAGAACAGACACGGGAGCTGCTTCGCCGATGATGGGAGAGGGAAGCGGGCGCGGCGGACGGCGGTAGACGCGGCGCACCATGAGGCACATACAGCGCTGGAGCGGATCAGGTCTGGGATGTCCAACCGCTCCATAATTATTAGAAGGACGTCCTCCAGCAACTCCGCCCAGTCGGATGACTCCATTATCCTCTCCTCCTCGGTGTCGGCGGTACAAAAATTTGGGCGTAACACAGTGGCCAGCAACAAATACATAGTGCGGGTGTACCCCGAATCCGATCCACCTAACGTCGTCCGAATCCAAAACCGTCGCGGCCACGTCACCGAGTTATCTTGGGCCGCCTGATAGCCTGGTGGTGAGGTGGACGGCTGAGATCGCTTAAGGAGCACTTCGTTTTCTCCTCATCGATCTCTCCAGCCTCTCCGCCGCGCGCCGCCGCCACCGCCACCGCCGCCGCCGCCGACGACGAGTCCCTCTTCCCTTCCTCTCCTGTCTCCTCGCCAGCCTTCCTACTGGCCACACGGCCTCGACGGTCTCCTCTAAGGATGGAGGGAGAGGATGAAGAGAGGCAGCATTCTGCGGGGATTCGCGGCTGCGCAGGTGTGGCAGCAGCGGGCGGGCTTGAGCGAGACGAGGGAAAGCGGGGAGGTGGGGGGGGGGCACCGTCGGATGGGAAGATCGAGAAGCTGAGCGCGGAGGAGCGAGTCGCCGCAGTCCTTCACCACCTGGTCGGCGCCGTCGATGGACAGGTGGACATTCACTGCTTCCCGATGGGGTACCTACCAACCCGTCTCGAGGTCGGCATCCCGGCGGCCCGGTCACCCCTCAGCACGCCGGCAGACTGAGCGGTTGAGATATATTCACAGTACATCTCTATATTCCCTTTGTTTGTTTGTTTGTTTTTGTTTTGTTTTGGAGAGAGCTATTCGCTTTCTTTGTTGTTGTATCATCAAATTGGTCACCGTTGCTACTGCATATCATCACGAGAAATGAATCAATGATGTATGCAGAAGCTAGTAGCTTCAATGGTAGTTGCATCAGAAAACAGAAAGCATACTGTGGTTCCTCATGAGGATTTAGGCACGTCAAATTAATAAGTCTAACTTATTTATGGAATCCCCTTATTTATACTATGTAGTATCAGGCTTGTGCGTTTTGGAAATTAATCACTGCAAGAAGTTTTAAAGTGTTTTCCGTTTTCCATTACAGCTATCATTTGGAGCTCCCTGCTTTATTAGATGGCCAGCATGCTCATGTTGGGTTCCCCCCTGGACAACAGCTGCAATAGTTATCAATGGTAAACAATATATACTTCCTGTGATTTATTGCTTGAAGTCCCTACAGATGGAATGTCATTTGTAGCAAGAAAACTATATGAATATGAGAGGATGATATCAAGTCCCTTAGGTGCCTTATATGAGATCTCAAAGAATTTGATGGATATTAGATTTTTTTAATGGAAAGGGTATTAGATTTAAGGGTGGAGATTTGTCTCTTGAAACTGCAAAACTTATGATCCTATTTGATGAAAGTGGAACTCCGTGCAATAGTTATTGCTATTAGAGGAATGATGATTGTTTCATTGTTGAGGAGTTAATGTTGTCGGCAATTTTGTCAGCTGCAGAAGTTATATCCAGCGCATTCCCAAATTGGTGCATTACTCGGTAGGCACCCCGAGCCTAATTTATGTAGGTCTCGAGAGTTTGAGGCGTTTGTGCCAAAAATGGCTTTGAATTGGATAGTTCATCATCTGGTCAACTTCACCTTTCACTTTCCAGAATGAAGGAGAAGTTAAAAGATGATCCTGTTTTGTTTAATATTATCATGTTTTATGCTTCAAAGCAAAAGCGGCCAGCATAATTTTTTTTTGCACAGCAGACATGATAAGCAGGAGGGATGATTGGACTCACTAGTCACCATGCATTATCTGTCCCTCTATGTACACATTTCACATCACCACTTTGAATATATCCTGATATAATTGTTCACAGAACACTGAAATGCAGTAATTGAGGCTGAAAGATGTATCTGAAACAAAGGAGATCTCTCTTAGGCCAAAACGAATTCAACATTGCACCTTGTGAGATTATACGTGGATGCTTTACATGCCTCCAATTTAGTAAGGATGCTGCTGAATCCAAAGAAAGGAGCGAAGCATTGTCTGCTGCAGCTAAGAAGTTTAAGCTCCCTTCCTCTGAAAATCTTGGAGAGATTGCTGAACATTGCAACGAAAGAAAGTGCGCCGGCCATTGTGCAGAAGAAGCTGGTCAGAAGCTCTACATGTGGACACTTATAAAGAGGAAAGAGGTACTATGCTCCATCATATTTTGGCTTCTGCAGCTGATTTTATATAAGCTTTGATTTGAAAGGCTTCTAGTTCTAGTTCTACTTTTGCAGCTCCTTGTTGCCGATGCTATAGTTCTGGGGCTCAGAACAAAGTTCATGTACGTTTATGTGCCCAAACTAACGGTATATATTTGCCTAACCTCATGGGAAGCACTTTCTTTTGTTGCTGATCGTTTTACTTTGCCTTGATACGATTAATCTTTTCTATGTAGATGGAACGGAGGATACATTATGATGAAGTTGAGAGCCTATCTATTGAGTGCTTGGAAGCCACTGGAATGTTGGTGCTTGAAGCATGCAGGAACAGGCCTCCTCAAAGGAGGGGAAATCAAGTGAACTGGTGAAGTATAGAGCTTTTGAGGAAGTCATCATGGTGATGAACCCATGAAGTTGCTTTGGTGGTTATTTGGTTAACCCGTCCGAATTGATGTTATCTGAAGAAAATGAGAAATCTGGAGCAACAGAAGCTGGTTGTGACACTGCCAAGTCAGTTTTGCTGGGTGATGAAGCCGTGAATGCTCTAGTTGCCCTGGCTGTCCTGCCTCCGGTGATACAATTACTCGAGCGAAGTTCCTGTGGCTCTTCATGCGACTCTGCGGTGGACACTGGAGTTTTTACATTCTCTTTGGTGAACAACAGTAATAAAAATGATAGAAGAGTAGCATTTAAAAGTTCCTTCAGAGTTCATCAAGCAAATATCAACTTATAGTGTTGTAGATGTTCCATTGACCTCAATGTCAAGTAGTCTTCTTTTTTACTTCAGGCCACTTGACCAAGTCCCAGATTCAGTTTTGACAGAAGAAAGACTCTGTATCGGTGATGTATTTGTCAGTTGATCCTTCATCAGCTTGTCCGGAGCTACCTGCAGTTTTTTTTATAGTGGTGAACTCTTACACATGTTTGTCATGTTGCTTTGTTACTCTGGTGAAGAAGAAAAATAGTATTGAAGTTTCATTTGAATGAACATCTTCAGGCTCTTTAAATCTTGAGCAACTACCATTTGTTCCTTCAAAAAATCAAATCTGAGCTTGAGTTGAGAAGCGAAATATGATAGTACCACCTCGAATATATATAGATCATATCGTAAAAATGCAGCTTCCTGTACAGTCAAACAATCTCAGAATTTCTACCCAAATCCTACCTCCATGACATCACGAAACAAACTGCAAATTTCTGTTTCTAACCCAACAGTTGTCTGGATTTCTCTGCACATCCTATTTCTAACCCAGGAATTGTGAACTGTCTAACATGGATTCTAAGCAGAGAACATTTCTAACCCAGGAATTGTGAACTGTACATCTACTCACAGAACTGTCTGCTGACCCAAAAACTGTTCCCTCTGAACATTTACTCTCCTGACCCAAGAACTGTTTGCTCACTTCCCATGGATGTTCTTCTTATGACGGTAGTAGTCGGCAAGATTTTGGAAGAAGTTGTGGCAGTAGGAGCATTCCACCCTGTCCTTGCTGCGCATCAGCTTGCGATGGCAAGTACAGTAGTGGGGCCTCATGGAGCCTGACGACAAACTCCGTGGTTTCGAGCCCTCGAAGCAGCTGGTGCACGGCTTCTCCCCTCTCCCTGCCTGATCGCACTCGACGAAGAACGAGAGGAGAGGGCCGTGCTGCGGAGGTGTCTCGCCGGCGACGATGGAGACGGGCGGCTCCTCGTCTTCCTCCTGCAATGCCGCAGTCTTGTCGGTGTCGGCGTCCCAATCTTGATCGAAGCCCTCCCAATCTTGATCGAAGGCGTCCCAATCAGGCCAATCGGCGTCGTCGGCGTCATCGTCGTCGTGCATTGGTGGCTGCAGCAAGTGGGCGTCAGGGGCGGCCTCGCCGGCGTGGGCGACGGCTTCTTGCAGTGGTGGCTGCAGCCAATGGGCGTCAGGGGCGGCCTCGCCGTCGCCGACGTGGGCGACGGCTTCTTGCAGAGGTGGCTGCAGCCAATGGGCGTCGGGGGCGGCCTCGCCGGCCTGGGCGGCGACTTCTTGCGGGGGTGGCTGCTCACCGGCGACGAGGAGGGCAGCGCCGCCCTTGTCCTCCACCGCCGCTCCCGCACCCTGGAGCTGCCTCCCGGCATTGTTGTTGGAGGCGTCGGGGAGGCCACGCTTCTTGTCACCGTTCTTAGCGTCGGGGAGGCCGCTCTTGTCATCGGCGACGGCGGAGGCCCCCGCACCCTGGAGCGGCGCTTCCCGATCGTTCTTGGCGTCGCCGTTGAACGCACCCTTGCCATCGGCGACGGCGGAGGCGCCGACCTGCTCCTCCTCTGCCCCCAATTCTTGGAGCCACCGGTAAGCGCCGTGGCCGCCCTCGTCGGCGACGAGGACAAGCCTGTCCACGTCGTGGGGCGGCAGGTGTTCGTCGGCGACGCCCCCGCCACCGCCCACCTCGTCCACCATGCTGAGCCCTTCTTGAATCGGCATCAGCGTCCCCGCGTCGACGATGCCGTCGTCCTCCTCTAAAACCTCGCCCCGCTCGACGACGCACTGCTTGATCACCTCGGCGAACTGGGGAAATGGGGAATGCGTGGTATTTGATTTCTTGTTTGATCCTGACACCGAAGCAGAGGAGGGGAGATTTATAGTGAGATTTGTATTGAGCGCTTGTGGCTTTGTGGGTTCCTCGCGGATGGGAGAACGGGAGAGGCTGCAATGGCTTGATCCACCGTCCAAGCGAGATCCGACGGATATAATTAAACGATATTGGTTACCGTTAAACTTAGTTCATGGAGGGAAAAGCTTGCGTACCTGTTAATTTATTTTTGTTATCTGTACTTTGTTTAAGGTAGTGTTTGTCTAATTCTTGCACTTGGTGGTTTTTGCCTACTCATTTTTTAACCAGGAAATTAACCAGAGTAGAATAAAGGAACGAGTCCATTTTATAACTCCTTTGTTTTGTGGTAATATAGAAAACTAATTCTGAACTTTATAATTGAATATACTTCAACTTTCGACTCTCAAAACCATGAAGTTTTTTACTTGTGCCTGAATATAGAGCTGTTTTGGTTGATGTGGTGTAAACCAAAAACTAATTTTGAGTTTTTAAAACTATTTAAAGAGTAGAAAAAAAGTATTTCTCGCTAAGTTTTTTTTTTTGGTACAAGTGAAATAGCATACAGTTGGCTTACGAACAATAGATTGAAAGCTAAATAAACACTATTTTTTGAAATGGGACGAATATTCTTTATAGCATTGTAGATTGAATTTATTAGTTTAAATTTTCAAGGCGAATAAGTCTATTGTGCCTCCCTCAACTTATGCCCATGGTTGAATCGCATCTCTCAACCGCAAAAATGGGTATAGCCCATCCCCAAACTCCCAAGACCATTGCAAATCGACTCCACGGGTGGTTTCGTCCAACGTGGAAGTTCACTCATCATTTGACCCTTGCCATTAGGTGGGACCCATTCGTCAGCAGCTTCCACCTCATCCCATATTCTCCCTCACCTCTCTTCTCCCCTCTCTCTCTCTCTCTCATCTCTTCCTCCTCTCACCTTCCATCAGCATAGAGGCAGGGCGGCGGCGATGGCGCATAGGGGAGGAGCTTGCTAGCCGACCGGCCTCGCCGCGCGCGGGTAGGAGCTAGCCGGGTGACCGCATGAGGGAGGAGCTCGTCGACCGGCCGCACGCGGGGAGGAGCTCGTCGGCATAGTGGCAGCCAGTACCCTCGTTGATCTCCTGCAACGGCCCGACTCGAGCACCTAGAGGAGGTGGGAGGGCGAATGCCAAATGGAGGACGTCGAAGCTCGAGGAGGTCGCAACGGCTGCGTACCGGCTCCGTCCGTGTCAAACCAGCGATGCACGGTCCGCGACCCCCGCGCTGCAACCGTTGGCCTCTGCCCCGGCTACCGAGATCACTAGGGATGTAGACGGCGACCGGCATCGGCGAGCTTGCAAGAGAGCGATGCTAGGAGCGGTGTTCGAAAGCTATTCCAAAAATTGCCTCCGCCGCCGGGCGAGCTTCGGCTTCCTCTGATAGCCTCGGGGGTCTCGCCGGGGCGCATCTTCTCCGACAGAGGGCGGAGCGTGCCGTCAGCGAGGAGCTGCTCGGTCTCCATCAGCAGCACGCCTTGCTGGTTGCGGATCCGGATGGTGGCGACGTGGATGGTGCAGACGACAGGGTGCTGTTGCTGTGACGGTGGAGATGAGCACACCCCTAGCTCATCCTAACACCTATTGAGTTGTGATCCAAATTCATTTGCACATAATAAAGGCCAGCTTCTGCTGAAGAGAAGCGGAGACCCGTCGCTGGAGGCTTGGGCCGGATATATATACCTCTTCTAAGCCGTCGTTCGGCGTTGTAACCTCACCCTGATATAGTGAAGATATTTTGCTGGCTGGCGCTCGTGGTTTTTTCTCTCTTGTTTTGGAAGGGTTTTTCACGTTAAATCTTGTGTCTTCTGCGATTGATATATTGTTATTTATCATTTATTTGCCTATCGTTTCCTAAGTCCTAACAGCACCGTGCCCCAAGACGCTAACACAACCAGCAAGTCGAGCGTCGGGAAGGCCAGCGGCCGCGACGGCAACAATGGCCGCATCGGAATTAGCCAGTGCCTGCGCCTTTCTCAGTGGTGGCCACGGCGGCGGCGTTCCGGCTCCGTCCATGTCGGACTAGCGACCCCCGCGCCGCACCCGCTGGCCTCCGCGACCTCACTTCACCATTGCGCGGTTGCGCCAATCCCCTCTGGCCTCCATGGCTGTCTGCGAGGGAGGAGAGAGGAAATAAATAATGTAACTAATATGTGGGTCCTCACCTATTTTTTTTTTACTGTGAGTGACACGTAGATGCCATGTGGAATGAAGACCTAGTCAAGATGCCATGTGGACAGCACATAAGTTAAAACCGGGTTCAATACTGTCGAGAGTCTATTTGCACCGGTTTTTAAGATATGGGAGGTATTATACCTGGTTTTGCGATTAAGGGATGCGATTTCGACCAAGTGCAAGAGATGAGGGACGTCAAATAGACTTATTCCTTCCTAGGACAATCACGAAGAACTTATGATCCATTCAGATTTCAGGCCCACCATTTGGAACTCGAGGTCGTCATTTGTTACATCTGATGCATTCTCCAGATCCAGCACTCGAAGAAGCTTCATATTGTCAGAGATGAAGAATGATTCCCATTTCCCAAACACTGTCAGAGACCGTAGCCGGGAGAAGTCGATGCTCATGAACACGATCTTGTCCCTCTCCCAGGTGCTCCCTATGACAAGGTGCCGTCCCGTGCGTTGGCTGGTCAGGCTGCAGCGCCCCTGCAGTGAGAAGATGTGGTTGTCGTCCATTTGCTGCGACATGATGTACTCATGGAAGAAACTGTTCACCTCGCACCAGACTATTCTGTTGCCGCTCCGTGAGGTCTGCTGCATAATGCTCAGGCCAACCAGCTTTGCGAATAACGTCTAGCCATTCTCCTCTGCGCTATTGTTGGCAGTGTCCCTGGAGTAGCCCTCGGCGATCCACCGTCTTATCAAACGCCTCCGCCGAATGCTTCTGTCTCGAGGAAAAATTGACAGGTAGAAGATACATGGCTTGAGGGAATCCGGGGAATTGTGAAAGTAGGATTGCATCCAAGCAAATAGACCCCGCAAACTTTCAAATCCTGGGTTAGTCTGTAACTCGTGCATAAACTTCTTATTGAATCTCCTCCATAGCACGGCATGTTTACTCCGGGTGGCCATAAAGCGACCTATAGCAACTATTACTTTAGGAAGTCCACCACACTTCTTTATGATGAGCTTTGCTTCATCAATCATCTCGGGAGTCAGATCAATGTTCTGTTTGTAAAGCAGGCGGTCCTGGCCATGCTTCTTTAGTAAAGGAGATATTTCTTCAGTCATCCCGGGAGTATTCGCCTTACCTAACATAAGCCTTAACTCTGTATCACTCATGCAATGTGCAGATCCGTACACCTATTTTCAAATATTTCAAGAATTACATGTCATTTTTTCAGAATTATCAT